GGGGGGGGGGGGGGGGGGGGGGGGGGGGGGGGGGGGGGGGGGGGGCAGAGTGGTCAGGTAACGGGGCATCGTAGTGGGAAGACCCGAATCAGTCGGGGATGCAGAGCGGAGGAAGGGGGGTACGTAGACGCCAAAACCACCACCGTGACATGGTGAATAAAATATGGGGTAGGGGGTAGGCAGAGCTGGTCGCCGCTTGGGCGTACGTATGTTGCTGCAGCGTTTTCGTTGGTGTATGTATCGCTCTTGGGGAAAATGGGCTACGTCACCCCCCCCCAAGCGACAGGGAAACGCCTCACGTGAGCCAACGGGTCTGTCATCGATGCCACAGGGGACGATGTGCCGGAAGTGCTCAAGGTTCGGGCGTACGTTTAGCGAGAGGCCATGCATCGTGATCCAGCGCTTCACCCGGACCCCGACTGCCTGCGAGGGCGGGGGGAGCAGCAAGCAAAGAGAGATGCGGGTGTAGAACAGAAAAACACTGCAGATGAGCAGAATGACAAGACGGTAGTGTTGGGCACTCTAACAACTTCGGGTTGATTGATGGACAGAACAACCTCCCGCCCCCTCCCCAAAAAGTGACGAGACAGGAATCATTCGGAAATTATACTGACAGCACGCAATGCATAGAATGTGCTTGCGCATTGTGCAAGGGGAGAGGTGTTGCCGTGCGTCGAGCGAAGCGGTTCGGTGCCACTGCTTGCGAAGGAATGACAAACAAAGCTGCGCAAGGTGGGAGAACTCCACGAGCAAAAGTATGCCCGTCCGAAATCAAAACGGCCTTTAAGTTCCGACAGGTAAGGAAGTAATGGCATGTCGCTCATCCTCGTCTGACTATACCTAAGAAATCCTTCGATAGCACCCTCCGTGCTTGATGCAAGAATAAAACACAGGCCGGCCAGCTCTATGGGACAGCCCGTCTTGCCGTGCGTCTCGCACATGGCTTCTAATCTCGGTACACTGCTGTACCACGCCTTCTGGAAAGGAATGAGCGATATAAAAAGGAACGAGTACGAAAGCCGGCCAGTGAGTAACCTCGCCGCCCCAGCCCCCTGCCTGAGGCCTGTCGAAGAAATACTCCCTAGAATGTACGACCACAACCCCCACCCTCCGCCCCTTCACTGTCTCACCGCAACCTTACGCCCCGCCACCCAAACCCCGGTCAAGCCCTCGATCCTCTCCCCTTTCAGACCCAGCTTGGCGAGGGTCCGTATGACCGTCTCCTCGAGGGCACGGAGGTACCAGTGGATGTCCTTTCGGTACCTCCTCAGGTTCACGATGGGGTACATCACGATCTGTTTTTGCGTGCGTGCAAAGGCGTGAGCCAGACGCGTGGTGTCAGGCGGGGGAGAGGGGGTGTGCACTCCTAGCCGTGCATGCTGTACATGCCGTAGACCGTTGACCTCGCATCCCTCCAAAAGCCAGAACGGAGCACGCCGGGTTGTCACCGTACCAGGATACGTAGCACATCACCAAGCGCGAAGCGCCTGGGAGAGGGGCAGTGTGGCGTCATGACAAATAACTCACAACCGCATACATCAATCAATCAGAGAGGATACACGCTTCTGTTAGGCCCTTCCCCCGCCGACGACTTTTTTTTTTTTCGGCGTTTCACGATTTTTTTTTGGCAAATGTTATTGATGAATAAAACACTTTTTTCGGCGACGTTTGGCGATTCATGGTGTTTTTTCGGTGAGTCCTGTTTCATTTCCGGCGATTTCCGGCGATTTTCTCCGGTTGCTACCTTTCGCAATTTTCACTTAAAGCGACTTCATCGAAGCGACTTTCGCGACGCATGTATGTCTTTACTTCTAGTACATGTTATGGTATTTGGAGGAAGACATGTGATCGTACTTGATCATGGTTATTTGGCGCCGTCGGATGCTAAGACGTGACATCATGCTAGATCAGGGCTTTATGCCGAGACATGCGCCCTTCTGTTCAGTGTGTGCGAGCAGACGACCCATGATCGTGTGTATCGTGTGTGCGCGGGATATTGTGAGTTGGCTTGGAAAGCGTTAGAAAGCAACACCGCAGGATAGAAAACACTCTCGTTCCATGAACGAACGCAGAGGATGGTTGCAAAAGAGCAACGTCCAACATTAAGTCGTGCCACGTACGTGGGGAGCTTTGTCTTGTTGTCGTTCCAGAACCCTACTGTAGGGTTCCACACCATAAAAAATTGCAAACTTTGCGGGTGAAAGCGCAAAAAAGCTGAAAAGCTTGCGTGATTACCAAACTTCGACGTTAGCACCGTTGGCGAGGGAAAGGGACGGCTGGACCATTCCCGCGATAACGATAAAATTCAGCACGCACCGCAGGAGGAAGGTGGGGAATGAAAAAAAAAAAAATGGAGAAAAAAGCCAAACCCCCTCCTGTGTGACCCTGGATGGTTGTAGTTGTACGAAAAAATACACTGAAAAGTGTAGTACTCTACATACGCTGAAAAAGTGTAGAACACGTCTCACCACGAAAAATGGCGGGACTGTCGCCATAATAAATAGGACGAAAACACACACACGACACACACACATACCGCTAAGAGGCGACGACATAGCACCGCCCTTCAGCTGTGTGCAGCCATGCAGAGCGTACGGAGGAGGTACAGGGGGCACCGTGAATATACTCGGCGAGAGGCGGCGACCTCTATTGCCGATTCAGCGAAGCCCCCTTTTCTTCGACGATTTTTATTACTGCTGTTTATCGGGCATATTATTCTGAAATCGGCGTTTTCGGCGATCGCCGGCGGGGAACGGCCTAGCTTCTGTGTCTTGCTCACACCTGGCCCGGGCCGTGGTAGGTCACCTCCCCGCCCCGCTCGGTGCGCACCACCTCGCCGAATGGAGCTTCGTCAGGCTCGAACCTCAGGTTGTCCAAGGTGCTGCCGGTACCGAGCGTGAACACGGCGTCGTGCTGCGTTAGAAGCACGCGGTCGAGCTCCGCATCGGCGGAGGAAAGATCGTCCGGCCGCTCCGCTAGCCGCGCCAAGTTCTAAAGAAGCATTCGAATACGGGAGGGTGGCGGGAGGCATTGGGCCAAGGTGAGCATGAGATTGTTGGGAGTGTGGTAGGGGGGGGGGCGGGAGCTGTGCGCTCGCATCTAGATATCTACGCTGGCCACTTCGCTTGTAGAGCTGCATCTTCGTATCCATTTTCCCGCCAAAAGAAGGGCAGCATGCACATGAAGCTCATGCACACCTGCTTCTGCCACTCCCAGCCGTCGTTGTAAGGCGTTGGGCCTGCTGCAAGCGTATTGTGGACTACACACGTGTGTCTCGCCCGATCTCCTTCCAGTTCTTCGAAGGGGTCGTCGAGTACTACTACATCTTCACCGCTGGCGAACGAAGAGTGGACTGCTGTCGTCAATGGCGGGATAATAACGTCTTTGGCCTGCCACCACCGTCGTTGCCCTTGTTGCACACCGGCGATGCTGCACCTTGGTTCCAAAGCCGCTTGCCCCCCGTCCTCCGTTGGACCGTTGGCCTTCACGGACTGTGTCAATCGTCGCCGCCGCCATCTTCTTTCTAACAGTGTCATCCTGCAGCGATAGGACAAGGCTCGCCATGTCTCGCTAGCCCTCCTGCCATTGTCGCTGTTGTCGTCGTGGAAAGCCTGCACTTGAGCGGCGGGGTGTTGACGCTGACGATTTCGCTTGCCAGCGTACTCGGTAGAGTGCCACCAACCCGACGCATGCGGTCTCACAATCGGTTCACCATGACCTCGACCTACGCCAATGCATGGTGCAAGGGCGAAAGCGCACCCTGTAGATGGGTAAATCATGCCAGCAGAGGGCCAGGAGCAGGGGAGAGAGCGAAATGAGAGAGATGCGGCGTAACCGTGGGGTTTTGAACGAAGGAGTTGCATTGCCGAAGGGGGCGTGTATGCGGTGAAACATCCACCGTTTCAGAGTTCGGATTTTCTGCCAGTTGCCAGTCGTCGGTCGGACGACCCTATGGATTCATTGCTTCATTGCTTGTATATTTTGGACTCGTTTCTTAGATAGAGATGGATTCGTCGTGTAATATGAAAAAATAAAAAATAGGGTTAGGGTTTTGTGCGATACTATTCATCTCCGATAGGACTTGAGGAGGACGGACTGTAAAGCTGTAGAGTATACTGCACTGCGTTTGCTCCTTGCTGCTGCTCTTGGCTGACCCAGGACTTCGAAAAATCCCCACAGGTACGAGCAAACTTTTTTGTGTGTGGTCGAAGATGGACTGCGCCTCTGCACAAGCCCAACATGCCACCATGCACAACATACTACTGCTGCCGTTCACCTGTCGCCGTCCTTCCACGTCTACCTGTCCATGACACATGCTGCCACTTGATGCGGCAACATCTGGGAACAACACGGACACAGGGAGTACCCCCGTACCCATACGCACAACCTCTCATTCCTCCCTTGTCAAACACAAATGATGTAACATGCATG